CATTTCTAATGATCCAATCCATTATCACAGAATGTGTCAAGAATTTTTTTCCATTCTTCATCATTTCTTCCAAAGAAAAAAATATTTTTGCGTTCCCAATACAATTTATTCACTCGCGTTAGAAAACCTTTTTTGGCTGAAATTTTTTGGCTTTCATTCTGTTAATCCCAGTATTTGCTTTTAGCATTTATATGATCACGTTCAGGAATATAGAATAAAAAAAAATGATTTTTTCAGGATATTGTTTACAACCAATCGCCATCTAGGCGCAAATTGGCAATCCACGTGATTTCAACGGCAGAAGGTGGTGCTGGGGATAAAAAGAATATCAATGATAACGGAGAGAGGAACAAGAAACCAGGTGCAACTACTGCTACTAAAATAACGGACGTAATTGCCTTCAAAGCCAGTCAGTCATTGTATCCATTAGTGAAACCTTACAACAATATCCCGATAAAAGGGTCAGTGATGTAAGCTGCAGTAATCCCTGCATTATTTCCATTATTAAATCGATTTGAATCATTTACAATAATGCAAGCAATTATGTGATTATTAAAAAATATTAAAAATTTTAGACATTCGCTACCATTTATTCTGTCATTTCTCATGAACTTTATTTTTCATTTTTTTAAACAACGATGATCGTCGCTTCTGATGATGATTTTTTTACCTGGATTTTACATGGATCATTACTGAAATACATTAGTTATATTTATAATAATAACATTAAAGTTTGATCGACGATTTTCAAAAAATGCAGCAGACTAATCCTCACATGTATTGAGAACATATGGGGATATTCCATGTCAACTCGTGAGGTTTAACCCCTCATGGTTTTTTATTTGTTTGCAAAATCATCCATCCGTTCACCACGTCACTATAACCCTCCCTATTTTTTTATTTTTTCTTTTTAATGAACCGTTTCACCACAATCGAAATTTAACCTTTCTTTTTAGACGTCACTTACAGCCTCCAGTGAGGAGTGATATTATTACACAACAAATTGTAAAGACAAAATGATTAGTTTATAGGTAAAGAATTGAAAAAATACATTAATTTATCAAATAATCAGCATTACAACACTTTTAGAACTAAAAAATCGTTAATGTTCGTCACAAAAGCGTGATTATTGAAGAAAACCCAGTTTGAATTTCCATATTAAAATTTTACTGCTTGAAAAACTGAATTTTCCACTGATTTTGGCACCAACCGCATTATTGGATCTCAAGAGGAGATTTTTTTATTAATTTTTGAAAAAAACAAATATTATACATATATTTCCAATGGAGAATCTTATTATTGTTTACAACTATTCACATGATTTAAACAGTTATATAATAATAGTTGTATATATTATCGTCGCGCATGCCCTCTCTGTACCGTTTATAAAATGGCGTCACAAAACTTTGACAGTTGTTGACACGACCAGCTGACGTTGGAGTTATTATAATTTATTAAAAAATCGCGTGCGCGTTCCCATTTCTCCACGATGGACTGTCCAATTCCTGACTAACTATTACCTTCATCGCCATAATTGTCAAAATCCAACCGAGTTTATTAAACCATTGCTCCAATGATAGTCAAGTCCACGAGAAAACGACAAATATTATGATCAGAGAGTGCAAGAAAGTGTCTATTTCACCACATAAACTCTACATTATAAAAAATGGATGAGAATAACTGTCAACTGGCTGAGGATGTCACTGTCGAGACTTTGGGAATCACTCAAATGTCATCAGCTTCTTCTGGAATTCATTCAAACTCTGGTCAGACCATGAAGCTTTACTATCATCACTTATGGATTTGATATTTAAAAAATAGATAATAATAATGATAATAATAATAAATTGCACGTTTAATAGAGGGGGTAATAGACACAGAGATCTTCCCGGATGCCACAGGTCCTCCCATAGAATGCAAAACATTTCCTGAAACCCCTGAGACTTCACAACCATCTGATTCTGGTAAAATTCATTGAATACTCGATTTTCTATGTGATTCTCCCATAGAACATCATACCATTATCTAAAATCAGTCAATTCCTTAATTTAATATATCAATAAATAATTATATATATTAATTAGCTATTGATTTAGTATCAATTATCAATCGATCTGGTATGATGTTTTTTGGTTAGTCTTACATATCTATTGATGATCCATGTTTAATCGTGGAATAATTCTAGTTTAAGGGCCGGATGGAGTATCTCGGAAAGATAATTTACTCCAAAATTGGGATTCCTAATTACTCCGCCAATTAATTGTTTTTTCCGATAATTGTTAGCTAGCGTTCTAGTCGTTGACAACCGCTAGAACGTTAGCTAACAATTATTGAAAAAAACGATTAATTGCCAGAGTAATTAGGAATCCCAATTTTGGAGTAAATTATCTTTTCCAGACAGTCCATCCGGGCCTTAATTGAGATTGTGTTTTGACAATATCTTGACTTCTGGGATAACCCTTGACGAAATCAAATGCCAAAATGAATAATCGCTAATAATTGAAACAATAATTATTCCAAAAGGAAATATCCGCAATTATCCACTTGTTTTCATGCATTATGTGCGATATTTAGATATCCATGGTTCGACATCTTTATTAGATTCTTCTGTTGCCGTTCCTGACTCTTCATCTTTGGAAACTGCTCTGGAATTGATAAATGATGGAGTTCAAGATACACCAGCCCCCGACCCTGCAATTAGTTCTCCGCAAGAAAATCCGAGGGCAGAAGAAAATGAAGGAGAAAATTTACCTAGAGTCCCAGGAAATTTCGAGGCTAGGGTATCAGCCAAAACTACATTTCGTAGATCGTCTCTTTCTGAAGACAGCAGGCTAGTTAAAATGTCATTGCCAACAAATTCCATAAACCTCATCCAGTCGAATGCCCAGTTCCTCAATAAAAGCCGGAATTTCTTGAATTTCATCACGGAAAAATCGACCAATATCATGGAAAAGGCGTTACTACCTCAACATATCGCTGCTCGATATAACGGGAATGATAGAAAGAAACTGCAAGATTTCGCAGCAACAAAATTTGGATCAATGCAAAATATCGTCACTGAAAAATTACCAGAACCACCAGAGAATAATCCCAAAGCTGAAAGTTTCACTGTCAATGTCAATAAAACTGATCATTCAGAGGAAATCATTGCTGATCCTCCAAATTCAGCAGTAATACGTAATTCCAATCAAGATCTGTCCATCTCATCGTTTCAAGCTGACTCTACGTTGACTGATGATATAATTTCACCAGTAAATGGCTCGAGTAAAAAAGAATCCAGTTTGAGTCAGCCAAATTTGGATCTGATGAAAGAAGAAAAATGGGTTCTAGTGGAAAGGATAAAACAGTTGGAGGAACGAAATAGGAAATTGGAAGAGGAGAATGATCCAATTGCAACTGAGAACAGAGAAAAAACTGTTGAACGTTTGACGACGGAGTTGAGGATGGCCATGATAACTCAGGAAGAGTTGAAGAAAGATTTTGCAGCTGCTAATAAAGAGAGGGAGAGTATGGTGATGAAATATGCAGTTGGGGAGAAACAATTGATTGATACGCAAAGGTAATAATTATTGAGTGTCTAAAATTCAGAATCGAAATAATGATGAGTGTTACTCATGCTGGAGATCGAGAATTATTCCATTTTGAATTTTTAATGTTTTTCTATGTTCATCCAAACATCAATAGATGAATTAAGTATTTAGCAATTAATCGATATCGATTAGTTGGTATTATATTATATTTTTCATTATTATTTGGGATTTGTTGATTGATTTTTTAATTAAATATAGAGGAGACCCGGGTAAAATGGGACAGATGATAAAATGTAACACTTGACTAATAAAAAAATATTGAATTTCCATATCAGGAATTGCACTATCAGAAGCAAAAAATACGCGATTCAAGTTAGATGGCATATTTTTTGAGAATGTTAAAAAGTAAAAAAAGTAAGAAAACAACAGTGTAATTAAAAGTAAAAATTAAATTCGGAAGTAACACTGGGACACTTGTAGACTGTCTCCAGTCTTTTTAATAAAAAAAAAATTACTGGAAATGAGTAAAAAATGATTTTCCGTAAGTGCCCCATTTCGCTTCTCCCCTACTTCTTATAATTATTCATCGGTTAATGAGAGAATTATTATATTATTTATTTTTATTATAGTATTTATGAAAAATCAAGGAATTATAAAGTTGGTACATGGATTTGGCTCAGATTTCTGGAACAATTGTTTACTTTTCGTGTCCATTTTATAAATAATTCGCAAATATTTTTATAGAGCAAGGGATGTAGCTGAGAAGAAGGGGAAGGATTCAACGAGAGAATGTGAATTACTGCAGAGTAAGTTGAAGCAGGCATTGGGAGAACGCACAAGAATATGTGGAATATTGGATACAAAATGTAAAGAGCTCGTGGAATGTCAGAAAGAAGTCGAGAGACTCAAAGAAGATGTTAGCGTAAAAGATGTCAAGTTAAAGTGGTCGCAGACAAAATTGAAAACCGAAATGGAAATGCAGAAAGAGACACAGCAAAAATTGGACAAAGCCGTTGTAAATATCTTGATGTATATATTCGCAGAGAAAATCTTCGAATACAATCAGGACACATTCATTTTATTTATTATATTTCAGGCAAAGATCAATGAAATGATGGAAGAGTGTGAACAAGTGCGTCGTGAATCTCAGGAGACGATACGTCAATTCCAACGATCAGAGGAGAACAAAGCTGTGACTCTTGATCACCAATTGAAAGAGCAACAGGCGCGACTTATCCTTGAACGTCATTTCACCGAGGACAAAGAAATATTACGCTCGCAGTTGCAGAAGGAGGTGGAGTCTTTGAAAAATCGACAGCAAGTTCTCATCGAGGAAAACAATTCATTGAGTCTGAAAATTCAGGATTTGGAAAAAGAGAGATTGATGTACGAGAATAATTTGAGTAATCTGAAGATTGTTGCTGACCAGAGGCAGAAGGAAGTCGTCGACTTGACAGCTAAAATTTCACATTTGGAAACACTGAAACTTCAACTTATTCAGTAAGTTATGAATTCCAAATCATTAACACTCATAAATAATCAATTACTTTGATTTGATACATTGAACTCATAATTGCTGGGTTATTATATATTTTTAACCACTGAATAGAAAATAGTTTTGAAATATGAATAATTAAATAATAATTATATCTTAAATATCAAATTAACGGGATTGAGCCTTCCACAATTAACTCATTAATTTTATCTCACTTAAAAAATAAAAGGATCAATATTTATAACTATTTCCCACTCCCTTAATGTTTGCATGTATTAAATATCTAATTATTTCATAATTCAATCGCTATTTCCGCTTGAAATTTTATTAAAAAAATATATTTACAGTAAAGAACAATGTCTGGCGTCAAATGAATCAGAAGTTGCACGTCTTCGTCTCGTAAATCAAGAACTACAGACCGATATGGACTGCTGCAGACAGAGAGAAGCTCACATGTTAGAATTCACTCAAAAATTGACCGACAAAAATGTGAGACTTCAGTCTGAATTCACATCAATCGAGGCCAGAGCAAATCAATTAGAAAACGAACAGGGACCATTGCGAGAATGTATAACTGAGATGAAAGCTAAAGTGAAGTCATTGCAGGAGAATCTTGCACTCCAAACCAACAAGAGGATCGAAGAGTGTGAGATATTGGCCAAACATCTCGCAGAGCAGACACAATTGGCGCAGAATTTATCCCAAAAGCTGGAAGATAGTCAGGGAGAAAATGTAGTACTTAGGAGAAAGCATCAGGGATCTATCAAAGAAATGACTCGAGAACTACAGCAATGCAGGAAAAAGCTCGAGTCTTATGAAGTGTCTTCACCAACAAAATCCTTGGATCAAACGCCTAGAACCTCTTCTGACACTTCTTTGAATACGGTAGAAAATTCAAACGGAGTTTCATCACCAGAAAATAGCACCAATGGAGAATTCTCATCGCCTTATACAGATCTAGACAAGAACTCGTTGATTGAAAGAATTCTGAAGATGCAGAGGATCAATGTGAGAAGAGCTGAGAAACTCGATTTTTTGGAGGAGCACACCAGAGCTCTCGTTTCTGAGCTTCAGAAGAAAACTAAAATTATCCAGAATTATATTTTACACGAAAACTTTGATGCAATGGGAAATAACGAGCGAGATCGATATAAGGTAAATTATCTGTAGATTGATCCAGTAATTTTTACCATTTTCATTATTAACGAATAATTGTGGGGTTTTACTCATTAATTTTTCTACCTTTGTTAATGCACACAAGAATTTGAAGAGTAAGAGGAATGCTGTAAGTGATATTAAATCATGTTTTATGTCTAGATAAGTTAAAAATATATCAAAGACGGAAATTAGTTGATTAGAAATTTGAATTGAAGATTGAGAAAATAAATCTTCAGAATTGTTTTATCATAATCTTGTGACTTTTGTAACTCTCGATTGACAGATGAATTGTCAAGGCAGTTAGAATTGTTTATTGATCGATAAATTATTATTAATTGAGTTATTGAAAATATTCTAAAAGTAATTGTTTTTTATAAATTTGATTATGTTGATTACCTCTGTATTATACATTTACATTTAGTTAATTAATAATCGTAAAATGAAAATTCTATTTTCTAAATTTGATGCTGATACTTAATTAATTTATTATGATTGTCGTGGATTGATTTGAGGTAACTGAGAAGTCAATCAATTGGGAGATAAAAAAAATTGAATAGTTGAATCGTTAAAACAAATGCTAGATTTATAATAATTTGAAAACTAAATAGATAATTGGATTTTCAGATGCTTTTGTAATAATTCTTATGATAATAATTCGCCTGATTTTTATTGGATTGATTAGGCGGAATTGGCGAGACACGGTGGAATCATGGCATCTGTTTACAATCATCGAGTATCTGATGATAACATGACGCTGGAATTGTCGTTGGAGATCAATCAGAAATTGCAGGCAGTACTGGAGGACGCACTACTGAAAAATATAACTTTGAAAGTCAGTTGGCATCTCACGTCTCGATTTAATTTTCGATTATAAATTTTAATTATTCATTTCTAAACTCGGATTCCAGCTTAGAATTTCTAATAAATTTGTAACAAATGTCCGATGAAAATTCCCTAGCAGCTTTTCCGTCTAACATTTTGTGTGACAGACAAAAAAGTGGGTTATTCCAAAATAATAATAGTAATAATAATAGTAGTGATAATAGTAATTGTTAAATGAGTCACTTCGAGAAAATATCTGTGAGGAAGAAATTTCTTTCATTGTTCATCAAAATTTTATTAAATTATTTTTGATTGATAAAACATTCTACTTTATTCCAGAACATAGATGGACAAAATCATAATTTTATATTAACATTAGTATATTACAATGAACATCAGTAAACAATGAATGAAACAATTAAACAAAACCAATCCAAATAATAATTCACGCAAAAATAAATAATAAATTCAAACCCTAAAGACAAATATTGAAGAAAATAATATTAATTGTTAATTTATGTTCCAGGATAATATCGACACGCTGGGTGAAGAAATAGCTCGATTATCAATAAAAAATCAACAGTTGCAAAAATCATCGAAATAACAGAAGAACAAGACGAAATATCGAGTGCACGAAAAGTATTAAAAGAAAGTAACTTCCAAAGGAAAATATATAGTCTTGAGAAGAAGCTACCGATGCGAAAACGAGACAAAAAGTATTGCAAGAACTATATTATTTGATACATAATTTATTTTTACTTCCCTTTTATTTTTAACTCCCTTTTACTTGATTAAAAAAGCTTTTATATATTATGTACTAATCAATTAGAATCACAGTGAATGTATTATACTTACCTTGTCTATTTTTGGTGCTCTTAATGACTTTTAATTACTTCTAACTTGATTACACTTTTAAATATCCTATGTCGTCTCTGTGTAATTGAAAATTACTGTGTACTCGTTGGCCTCAATGATATGCATATGATCACTGATGTAACCAGTGTATGTATTAGAAAGAAAATATGTATATTATACGTTACGTTGAATTATAAATTCGCCAGCTTCTTAAGGATAATATCAAGAGCGAAATAAATTCCACGTTGAACAGTTGATCGTTTTTTCTTCTCTATTGCACAATTATTTAACTTGGATTTTGTTTTCTTGTGCTTATTTTTTCTCATACGATTTCTACAAATGGGTTACAGACAATCGAGTGATTTTTCATCTTATTATTAATTTTTCATCATTTACATTATACATCAGTACTTAGGACGGTAAAGGCTTTGATAGAAAAATCCAAATGAAAATTTCATACTCTATTTTCGCATTATTTTCTTTGTTCTCCAAGCAAATTATTATTCAAACGGAATGATGAAGAGACCAAGCAAGCTGTATGAGCTCAGTAAAAACTCTATGATCTAAATTCTCTCAAAAACATTTCAAACTGGCACTCGAAGTAAATGCCTACTTAGGTTTTCCACTCTTTGTTTACACATTAAATTTTTTAAACAACATTTACATGAATCGCATTACATCTATGTCTTATTTATAAGTTCCTTTTTCAACTCGACTCAAGAGAAATCTTTTTATTTCCATGCATTGTCGCAATTTAATGAGATATTGTTTTGACTTTTTGGTAATTCATTTTCCTGGTGGTATGCAGTGAGCATTGTATTTAGTTATTGTAAATCCTAGGATTGATCTAATGAAAAATCATTGAATGGAATATATTACCTGCACAATGCACACATATTCTATATACTTAGAGTTTTTTTTTCACTCTCAGGTTAACGGAGAGTATTTTTATTTCACGGTATCAACTCTTCTGAGTCTTGAGTGGAAACAAAAAATTCGTGAAGAGCAATTTGAAGTTTTAAGATTACCTCATAAATTAATAGAAGCGACTACACTACCTTTCCCTTTTTACAAGTACATTGATATCCAAAGATTGTGGGGAAGTAAAATCAGTTCCATTGCACCATGTGAAAACTAAAATTGAAATCTCTGATTTTAGAATGAACAGGCAAAAATCGTTTGTCTACAGATTCCAATTGACACGTAATAGATAAAGCATGTGATAAATATTAAAAAATATTAAATATTAAAAAATAATTCCCATCGAGTTACATCGAAATTCAAAGAAAAAAGTCAATTAAAAGCCTATTCCAAATTTTTTTATATCAAATAAAAAAATAACATGATTGTTGTTAACGGTGTCTAGTCGAGGTCTCAGTCGCCATTTTTTTTAAAAGGTTATAATAATCAATAAAAAATGGTAATTTTTTAAGTGAAAGTTTTTTCGGCGCGTTGGGTGTAGTGGGGGGAAACGCAAATAGAGAAAATGTACGGCGCAGGCTTGAGCATTTTACCGATATCCTATCCACTCTTGTAATTAATTCAATTACAACCTGAGCATTACAAAAAAATCATGCAAATATAGGGAATAAAATGCTGAAGTACATGAAGAGCCAAATGGTCGCACCTCTGATTGTCTCGGGAAGTTTCAATTCTGTCAGTAGATGGCAGATATTTATTTTCTTTCTCACAAGTGGTAGGATGGCTTATCAATTGAATTTATAGATATCCTGAGTTATTGTTTTAGCGAGTGGGACCCACGGTTTGTTGATTACAAAGGGTTAAGGGAAATACTTAATAAACGGTTCCAGCTCTACCTCCGAGCCACAGCCGTTAGAAAATGTGAATTGGGAGGTAACGGGGGTCCCACATTTTGCAAGTAATTGTAATAATTTTGGTTATTTTAGAAATTTCAGGAATGAAAAGTATTTTTCAAGTCATGTGATATATTTTTTGGCGCAAGAAAAAGGAAAATTTCTTTTTTTTAAAAGGTACAGAGAGAATCAGAAATAAAGGCCTTTCGTTGGGTCTCCGTTCTTTGGATCCAAAATGAAAACTCTCTTTAGTTTTAATTAATTGTAGAGGAAATTTCAAAAAAGAAAATTATATCTTCTGCGTACGCTGATGTTAAGAATTAATTTAGGGGGAGGGGGTAATGAACCGAAAATTCATATACAAATTTCTGGCGTTTTGGAGTTTTGTTATTATTGAAAAATAAATTTTCGGAAGAATTTCCAAAAGTTTACCAAAATTTTCGAAAAATTCAATAAAAAAAAATAAAAATAAAGATAAAGATAAAAATCCAAAGATTAATAAAAAATTGAATTAATAAAAATTTAATTTAGACGGACGACTACGAAAATTTGTATCATTGAACAATAATAAAACCTCAAAACGCTATATTTTTTTACTTCAATCTGATTCAGAGTTTATATCGATATGAATTATAAATTATTTATAATTATATGATTATATAATTATATACACACTTGCTAGAAATCGTTTTTAACTCATAACCAGTAATTTTGTATTTACCCCCAACATAAAAAACAAAAAAGAACATAAAAATGTTCCAGTGTTTTTGGCGAATTTCATTTTTTCCTTCTAACGGGAATTTAACATTTTTTTATCAGTCATAAATTATAAATTATATATATATTATATCGATATCGGCAATAATTTCTTAAACACCATAAGTTTTTTAGCGCACACGATCATCCGTAAGTAAAAAATTTGAATACGATGAAGTGCGCTCGACGGGAGTAATGCGCATGCTCAGATGTATATAGGTAGGCGCGCGAGAATTGATTTTGGCTGAGAGCAGAACCCTCGCATCGTCAAGTTATGGGGTATAGTAAATCAAGGCCGTGAATCCTGGTGGCCTAGGCGAGCCTTTCAAGGGGTGAGCTTAAAGGGGATCTATCTTCAGGGATTGCTCATTTTATCCGACTCTACCAGAACGATAAACCCACGCAAGTGAACGACTTAAAGTGGATGAATTCTCCGAGGTAATCTGCCGCACACAAATCGTCAAATCAGGATATGAACATATCGTTTAAAGAGACATTCCAAATGCATTCTCTTCCCTTTCATTTTCATCAATATATCCACTGTTTCCACTGTTTTCCATTTTTTCCTCTCTTTTCTGTTTTTTTTTGTAATTGTCCTTTTTTCCATCGCGCAAAGTACATCTCATTGACTCGTTTTTTTTTCCCCGTCCATATGAAGAGTTTCAGGCACGGTGAATCAACCTTATTTTGACCTTTATTTTGACTATTGCCAATTGCATTTTATAATTAAATTAAATGTAAAAATCAATGGATTCACGCATTTTCGGGATTTTTGCAGATTTCAAATGAAGATATTGGATTTTTTTACGTTTCAGACTTGTCTGCTCAAGGAGTTATTACCGATATCTTCTTATTTTTCATATTTCTTGGAAATTTCTGGGAAACCTGGAAAAATATACCGTTTTTGGATTTCATTATTATCCTGAGACTCCCAAATTTTCAGTCGTGCGTTTATTTTTCTAATTTTTTGTCAATTTTTGAAAGAGTTTACTGAGAACGTAAGAAAATTATCCCACAACTGTGGACCTTCCTGAGACATTAAGTATCATAATTAATAACATTTAATAACGGTATATTTTTTTTTACGTCAATTCAGCGAATTGAACTGGAAAACTAGGATAGACATTTTTTTCATGACCAGTTATTAGCCAATATCTCAAAGTTGAAGGAAGATAGCGATTTTTTTGCATAAACATTGTTTATAGAGAAAGATGAGAGCTACAAAAAAGGTATCTATAAAAATATCATTATTTTCCTCCACTTTCGAGAAATTTGCGAAAATCTGGCCTCGAAAAAAACGCATTCATCCTGGTTTCCCCCATGACGACAGATTTTTGTCAAGTGTTTCTCAGAAATTTCACAAAAAATTTATTCTAAAAAAAGATGAGAAAATATCAGCATTATCTTCTTAAGGATATCCGACGCCCATTTAGCACAAATTCACATTTTTTAAATTTTTCTGGCAAATTATCGATGGGATTAACGTGAAAAAACATAAATTTTAATCACTATTTAATGGCTATTTAATCCCCAATTAATAAATAAATTTCTTTTAACTATTTCCTTTCCATGCGTTTTTTCTACCGTTTAGTAGTCCTTTTTAAAAGTTTATAATAAACGCAGGAGAATATTCGCAGCATGTTGATCCCATCGTAAATTTGTCAGAATAATGGGAAAGAAATCCTTAAATATTGTAACAACATACGTAATTTCAGAAAATATGTGAAGGGAATAGTGAACATATAATTAGGAACACAACATGCTGTAAGCTTAACAAAATAAAGGACACAATCAATGGAAAGAATAAAATAATTGTGTAATGTTTTTTAATCAATTTTTTTTTTAGCAAATAATATGATAATAATAGCCATTATAATAACGTATAATTGTTTGGCATCGTTATGGTCTCCCACGTCTGTACAAACATTGTATCACTATAAATCGAGGCGTTAATTACCTATGTAACTTAATAAATGAAGAAAAAAAAGGAAAATTAATTTTTTCCGTTGACAACAAAAGACATTACCATTGTCAGTGGAGAAAATTACCAACAAATAAAACTACGTCTACCTATACATATGTTTCTTTAGTTATTTCACTATATTGTGACGAATTAATCTCTACTAAATGACAAATGACGTTCAAACGTAAATCGAGTAATCAACAACAAAGTAAAAGTGAAATTGAATGTTTATCGCATAACGTCTAATAAAGTATAAGAAAAAATAGGGAGAGTTGCAGTTTCTAGGAGATAAATCTTACAATAAAAATGAAGGAGTAATAAATCCTTCGCAAGGAACAACAGTGAATGTTGAGGTTTTAAAAATGAACTAAAAAAATTGACAATTCAAATCCAATAGTGGATAAAAAAAAGAGGTAAATCAACGGTTAATAGTCTTTGAAATCAGTAAAATTTTCCCATTCTTTCGATGATTTAACCATTTTCTTTTATCGTTGGATACTGCAAGACAACTCGATCAAGAAATTCAGAAAGCACCATTTCACAACAAATTAATTGTTACAACAAGTATTTATTTCGTATCAGGTGCTCGGAATGGTTTTTGGTGAAGATAAAAGGCAAAAATTCCAAAAGCCCCAAGGATTTTGTAGGTTTATGGTTTTAAAATACTGCATTTAGCTGGATAAACTCGTGAGAGCTCCCACTTTGCTCCCCAATGCACGACATTTTTTCATTATTCCTCCCTAATTAATATAAAATTAGCCAAAGTTATTTACTTAAGGAAAACCTGAATTCCCCGATAAAAGTAAACAATTAGTGAGGGACACAGCGTTAGATGGATCGAGCAATTTAAATCACAAAATATTTTTGTTCCATTGCACATTTTTATCTCTCGGGTTTAACAAGCCATTGCAGTATCGCCCCATCGATGATTTTCTACTTGATTTTCAGTTCAATCCGAGATAATTAATCAATGAGTGAGAGGTAATTATAAAAAATTAACGGTTCGGAGAAAACGATGTGTATCACAGTATGAACATTGCATCTACAGTTCATTTGGCAACGGGCCAACATCATATGACACTATCCTTCATTAACAAGAAGAAAAAAAATCAATTATTCTCTATTCCTCAAGCTCATTCTCATCAAACGCTAGCCCCATCTCCAATTATTTTTCAATATCTTTTCAATATTACGACCTAAACACAATCAATTCTAGTGATCATATTAGCAAAACTAAAAAATTAAAATGAGAAATAAAATTTAAGACAAATTATGATATGTTTTTTTACCAATTCTGCATTTCACAGATCCAACTCAAAGGTCTATAAAATTTTTTTTCATTTGATTCAAATAATCCCGCTTATGTACAGTTGATGCAATGAATTTTCCCTATCACTTTTACTATAGAAAAAAAGAAAGTTGTTACGTATATGGCATTTGTACCTTCCCCAATGTCTTTCTCACTTGTTCGTTAGCGCATTTAATATATTTATAATTTTTTTTTTCTCGGCTTTCTCACGTTTATTTGTTCGTTCTTCGTTACTCCATTAATTTTCTAAGTGTTTGTTCCACAAGTTTTTAGCTCATCTTGTTTTCGATTTGTTTTTCTTTATTTCGGTTAGTACGACAAAGGCACCCGAGGAGAATAAATATTGACGATGACCACATTGTTAATTAAATATCAACAAATTCGACGCAACGCCGCACTGATAGTACACCAACGGCCATCTTATTGACAATGTTATTCATAAATTAATTTCTTTCACCATTTTATTTGTTTTATCATCGATGAAAAGTCCAGAATGCTTTTGTTTGCCTGTATTATATTACCTGTCATGATATCTTCAGTGGTTATTTATAAAAAAATACTTCATTATTTTCTGGAGGTAGATGCACAGGAAACAAAATTTTTCTACTTTCTTACGTTTTGTTTTGCTTTTTTTTCATTTTTACGAACAAATTCTGAAAAATTTCTCTTTAAATAATATTTGAGAATGGATTAAGCCAAATAACATCGAGACTAAACAGTCAGATTGACTAAGTAATCGAAAATAATGAAAGATGGCCCGAGGTTCCCACACCAATTTACTCATCTCCAGATGCACTTGAAGGAAATTAATAAGCAAGAAGTATCCATTTTCAACTTTGACAAACTCTGAGTTACTTTATTCATTCAATTAAATGATATTCTTGTGCAAAGCGGAGAGATAAGTGTAAACGAAAAAGAAAAAAAAAATTAAGAAAAAAAAAAAGAGAGATCTACAGCGCACACGAACGTGTAACTATTTGTTTTCCTTTCCTTATTTATATTCAATTTATATACACTGACTCTGAGATTAACGACATTGAGTTTGAGACGATTTAATAGTAGATAATACAAATGATAACGTAATAATCAACTAAAAAATTATGAACTACACACAACAGCTAAGCGCGCAATATTTGAATACCAACGAACTTTAATGAGAAAAAAAATTATTCACGTATAGTTTAATTCACCGATAAAACGGCAAATCTTGGTTGTTTTGTCTTACAACGGAAAAACAGAACATCCGAACTATACAATTGATTCAACAATTTGATTATACAAAACTTGGCCTGAAGATTTTATCAGCAATGAATTCTACCTTTTTCATTTCTATCTTATTTGTTCGTTTTTTTCTGCTTCCTTGAGATCCAGCTTACGAATTTGCACGAATCAGTAATGTAACAATCGGCACATCAAATCTTTGCTGATGCCGCTAAGGTCTTGTTTCGTCCATTGGTTAGTCACTGGCTGTACCGCTGTTACTGAAAATGTCTCCAGCATCACCACGACAGATTGGGCACGTTCGATTTGACTGAAATTACATGATAAAATAAATTAGTTCGATGTTTTACTGCCTCCGACAACAACAAACCATCAGCGTTTGCCATTAAATTTTATTGAAAAAATGAATACGTTGATATATGAGTGTCTATATAAAAAGGGACCATTTTGTTGAATTTAGTTCTCAAGATAATCGCAGTTTTTCAATTACACTACAGAATCTCCAGTTCTTTTTATTTACTTTATTTTGTAGTATTTTTATTCTAAATGGAAGCTGTGTAATCCATCATTTTTTCTGTCTCCTACATTTGCATGAGAATTTTATGTTTTTTTTCCAAGTCTTAAGGTCATACAGCTGAAATAAACAATCAGCAAAAATTGAAAAAATTAGAAATATTGATACGAAAAATTTTTGATTCGCCTGAGACTGATGGAAAATGTTATGAGATGATAGTACAGAGTTTCGGGATCGATGTATCTCCCGATTTTTCGATTGAATTAAAAAACAATACAAACAAATGGGATTTTGTTTATGACCTGATTTGATGTGATCATCTCCACTGATAAATTAACAATATATCAACTAATTGACGCAGAAAACAAGTGATAAAAATAGGATTAATTACCCTGAGCCATTTGTCAATGCACTTGGCATGGAACTCGTGAGAGCACGGCAGAGCTCTCAACATTTGCGGTGCCTCGAAATCGCACATGCAAACAACACAATTTGTTTGATCGCCATGAGGATTTTCAGCATTGAATTTGTACGAGCGTAATTGTTCGACTTCGGCCCGTGTAAGACCCCTTGGTTTAGCCTCACCGAGTCTCTCAGCAAGTGAAAGTAGTGCCTCATAATTCTCTGTTTCAGCAGACTCCGGGGATGACAGCTCAGTCTGACTGTATGGGGACAGTGGTGGATTGCTGAACATGGCTCTGAATTTGGAGAAGAGAGGAGAAAAAAATAAACGAAAATTTTCTAATTTTCAGACTAAATTGGGGCAGTTAGAGATGAGTGAGACTCACAGGAAATGGAGAAGTAGCCCGGAGTAACCGGTTGGTGGTATCGGTGGTGTTCCTCGCCATCTGGTTGTCCTTTGTCTTCTACCGCCAGTTGTTGCTCTTCGTGCACGTGACTGGAGCATCTCCAGTTGATTACTTCGAGTCTCAGGTAGAAATATCGGTGGTGGTGTCGTGACTTGGGTAAGCGCTGGAGGCGAGTAAGAGTGAGGTAGAGGCATCGGTGGTCCACCATTTGCCATTTGACGATGGTGCAAATGACTCTCAATCAGCTCCAAATCAACTTCCCTCTGTCAAAAGAAATTTTAAAAAAATACCATCAGTTTAATTCTCTTTGAGGAAGAGTCAGAAAAGAGTATATTCTTCTCACGAACATCTATCTTCATTTTAAAAAGTTGAGTGTTCGTTTTTTGGGAGTCAAATCTAGGAAAATCTACTGACAAAAGACTGAGTGCGGGTATATCTTTGGAATAAACGTTTTTGTTGAAAAAAAAAAGTAGAAAAACTTCAAGAACTCTACAAAAAGATATAACTGAAACACCATAAAGTGTTCTTTGAAATGATATATCAATATTCGTAATCATTTACTTTGGAAATATATGAAAATTGAACAGATGCGGAACTTTAGATAAAACATGAAAATCACATTTTCATGTTCAGACCGCCATAAGTCCCAGAAAAATGCCGGGAATCGCATAATTCACATAGCTTCTTGAAATTTATTTAATGAGCTTTCAAATGAGTATATAATATATTTTCTCAACATGAAAGGGAAGAATTATTCTAGAAGGGAACGTTACGAGCCATTTACTTGTGGATTATCTTATCAGCTTTATAATTTATCATAAAACTTTCGAATTCATATAAAGCGATTTGAAAAACCATTTGGAAAATATCTATTTTATCTCGGATTTGATGATACTTGAAGGAATGTACAGATGCTCTTCAAATACTCAACAAATTCTTTTATTTGAAAAATCTGGTGATGATTGTATGATTTGCGAATATGGAAAAATCATGTAAATTGAATCTTCGGCGAATGTTTGGCTAGTTTCAACTTCTCTGTCACTATATGAAGGACACAATCGAGAAAATTTACCTGTTGTGATAATTGATGGTGAGCTGGATAATGGGGGGCATGGACGGGTGGTGGTGGCGGATGTGGATGGAGAGCAGCTACAGGGCCACCCGGAGGGGTAGGATAGCCCCTAGGAGCAGCACCAATCAGACTGTGGCCTGGGTGGCCTGTAGAATAGTGACCATGATGATGATGATGTGGCACCTGGAGAATCAAAAAAATCATCTATCAGCTGGTCGAACAATATTTATCACTTCAAACACAGACTTTTATCATTTCAGGACCGAAATTAGGATAAATGCATTTTCTTCGATGCCAGTTTTTGGCGAATATCTCGGGATTGGAGCAACATAGCAAATTTTATGGGTAAATACTTTTTCTAGAAAAAGATGAGAGCTGCAAAAAAGGTTATTAGGAAAATATCGCTATCTTTCTTCTATTTCGAGATATTGGCTAAGAACTTGTATTTAATAAAAGGCACTGGTCTTATTTCACCACTTCGCAATAGATTTTCTAATTATTCTTTGATAAAAACAATTTAGAATGTCGTGAAATCAATTTTCACAAATGTGTAAGTAGACATCTGAAATTTTGGATCATAATTTATATTAATCGATCTAGTATTTTTTGAGATACACCGGTTTTTGAGAATAAAGATATCTTTTATCAATACCTTAAAAACTATTGCATGAGATTGCCTTTTTCTGGCATCGAACCATTTCCTGAATATCTAACGAATCAATAATATCTGGACAGGAGCCAGTCGTTTTTTAATTCACGGTTTTTCGAATTTTTCATTGATTATTTCAAAACTCAGCTTTCACATCTTTTCATCTATTCTCGTTTCCTTTATTTATAATATTCCAAATTCACTCGACTTTAGTGCAATTTTAATTTTAATTTTAAGATCATTGCAAAGACCATGATTTAAAATTTCCTCTTTACTTTTTTCGATTTTTTTCAAATTTCAATCTTGAAGTTTCCGATTCAGTCCTCAAAAAAAAATTCCAAATCCATAGAAAACCCAGGAGATATTAGCAGATATTTTGACCTTCAAAAATCGAAAATTCGAAATAAAAATAGCAATTCAAATCTCTTCCATTATTTGGAAGATTCCCTTTTCTTAACAGAGAGAACCAACAGCCACACCTCCAATGCGAAAAATCGAATAGAAAAATAATAATTACCTGGCACGAATGAGCAAAGGCATGTGGCCCAGTCGGGGCATAAATTCCATGAAGTTGGCATGGAATTCTGTATCCAGTAGCCTGTGGATGCCAGATAGGTTCACCACTGACAGTAACCCCAAGACTTGATACACCAACTTGTCCAACTTCAACGACAACAGGACCATTTGTACCCTGACTTGGATGATGTCCAGTACCAACTGGATGATGTGGATGGCTCTGATGGGCATTGTGTATATTATGATGGGCACTGTGTAAATTGTGATGACCATTGTGTAAACTGTGATGAGAATTGTGAATAGTGTGATGTTGTCCGTGTAATCCATGATGTGAATTATGAATAGTTGGATGGGAATTATGCATTCCAGGTATGAATGGATAAGACAGTGCAAATGAATCGGAATAACGAGGGTAACGATTACGTATTGGTGGACTGCCCCTTGTACTCATGTGATTACGGGGTGATCTACGTTGGGGGGCTGGGGGTAATTCCCAGGGACCAGAATTTGTGTGTAATGGTGGCGTTGGGGCTGAAGGAGCTGCTTCTTGCACATCTAATCCTGATACTGCACCGTTCCGGGATATTCTGCGACGTTTTCTTGATGGTGATTCACTCTGAAAAATTTTCGTATTCCATGAATCATCAGGTTTAACTACTCCATAGGATATTCGGAGAAGGGCAATTAGCTCGTGGAAAAGATTAGATTGTTGGCTTAGGGTTAATGTATCTGTTGTCATTGGTGGGCTCTTAGGCCAAGTCATTCAAAATATTCAAAAAATTGTACAATTCTATTTCTCGAGTTAAATAAATTGTAAACTTGGAGATTTAATACATTCATTAAACATTTCAGGGGAATTACGAGAGATAATCCGGAAATTTTATTTAATTATCATGATTTTAATATTTATTCTGTTCTCTTATCCAAATGTTTTATTATTAGCAGTTATATTTATAATGGACTTTTGAGGATTTTTGTGAATATTCCGGTTTCGCATTTTATCGTTATTTAATGACTTTTTAAAAATAGATAAAGCCTTGGAAAAAAACAGGAAAAAAATTTATCGAAAAACTAAAAATTTGAAATTAATAATTTTGGGGAAAAGGGGACAGGACATCCTGATGTTTTAATCATATCGTGTCAAAATATTTTGAAAAGTATTGGAGAACTTTCTATTTGACAATTCTATTGATTAGGAAAAATCCGACGGAAAAGACCGGTGGGATGGCTCTGGTTTAAGAATGAAAAGCGCCTAATCCTTTTTTTTTATTTGGGTGGCCCCATGTGTTGACCAGTCACGATGGACGTGACTTTGGTCGGTTTGACTGGATGTATTTTTTTCTCAAAATTTTGGGGGACTTATTGTGTGGAAACTGTTCAAAGGTGTCTGAAATGAAGAAATGAAACTGTTGGACTGCTTTATGAGCCTTTCGCGTCGTATTCAAACGTCAGATCTTCAAGAGTTTTTAGTGTACGTGATTTATGAGGGCTATCATAAATTACCGATTAAGTCCTTAAATGACTTGAGATGGGAAATATTTTCAATCCTTTAATTATCAATTAATCAGACATTCCCAAAAGAAAAATGAATTAATTTTAAGTAATTAATTTTCAGAATGGCAATAAAAAGTTTAATAAGGGTATCCAATACATTTTTTTGAAATTTCAATTCAATTTAAAGTTTGCATTCAATTTAAAGAAATAATAGTTGCTAAATTTCTTATTTGTCTTGAAAATTTAAGGAAATTAGATTTTTCACGAAAGCTCGAATTTTCAGATAGTAAAAATCGTAAAAATTCAACAAGAAATTCAATTGAATTTTGATTAATTAATAATTTCGTTATCTAATTCATTAAGTAATTCTCCAACAGTGTATGTTTACGTATTAAATATTCCTATCGAATTCAGTTTAAAAAATGTCACGGATAAGTGCATTTTTACTGATGCCAGTTCTCAGCGAATATCTCGGAATTGAAGGATAATAACGAATTTTATGCATCAACATTTTTTCTAGAAAAAAACGACAGCTATAAAAAAGGTATCTATGAGTATATCGCTAACTTCCTTGAATTTCGAGATATTGGCTAAAAACGAGTCTAAAAAAATGCACTTAGTCCAGTTTACCGCTTTGCAACAGATTTGTTTCGTTTCCTATTAAAAAAAAAACATTACAATTGTTTAAATTCACGGAAACGTTATTTTCTTTGGGCCCTTATTGATTTCTAGTACAACTCTGAATATTTCCGAGTTTATGACGATTTAAAAATAATTTTTAAGGGGAAAAATTAATGGTATACAAATGAATCATAGAATAAACTCGTAATCTGGGGAATGGTAATTTTCAAATGAATCTACAAAGCTTTCTCGGGAGGGGGATGAGTTTTACAGTCCTAGTGTGCTGCTCGTTTTTTTTTTTCAATTATTACCGTAAACAGCTAAACCAACTGTGGAAGAATGTTCTGAAATTCTGAGAATAATAAGGCGTGTTGTTTATGCGTTTCGTTTTTGTAACTAAACACTATTGGAATGAATGGAGGCTTTCATGGCTTCATGTCACCAAATGTTCAAACTCTTCAGATCTTTGTTTCTAGAGTTAGTTTCTCTGAGGAGTTTCAAGGGCCTGCACGTGTCTTTCGATCGTAAAGTTAACAAAGAAACAGAAAATTTTGAATTTCCTATTTGGAATCGATCGATTTTCATTCTTATGACAGATAGGTATGGGCTTTTGGGCTTGTATTATCTAATAAAAAATGTGAACAAACATGAGTTTATGGATTAAATAATCTAAAAATACAGGATATATAGGGGAGAGCCGGAGAAAATCAGACACTTGTGCAAAAGCGTTTTTAACTCATTCCCAGTGATTTTTTTTTATCACCAAAAAATCTTGGAGACGGTCTAAAAGAGTCCCAGTATTTTGTGCGAATTGAATTTTTCTTTAAATTAAGGCCCGGATGGACTATCTATCGAACGTCGACTTTTGTTTAAATTTTATCTTTTGAATCTAAAATACATTAAAATTTGGGATCAATTTTGGCTTGCGGGAAGCACTTGAATGGACATGAAAAAATAATGAAAAAAAAGAGGAAAAGTTATTGAAGGACGGTAAAGATCGATATTATTTAAAAAGGATTTACCAAGTTTGCAAAAAAATAATAAAAAATCCGTAGCTTACTTTTGCATCTAGCTGTCACTCAATCTTCTGGAGAGCAATGGTAAGCTGCGCAATTTTTATTATTTTTTTGTAAACTTGGTAGATCCCTTTTAAACAATATCGCTCTTTAGCGCCCTTCAATAATTTATCCTCTTTTTTTTATAACCATTCGGGTAGCTCCCGGGACACAAATTTGATCCTAAATTTTAATGTATTTTTGGCTAAAAAGATAAAATTTAAACAAAAGATGACATTCGATAGATAGTCCACCCGGGCCTTAAATTGTTGCTTTCTTACTTTTTTGAGTTCTCAAAATTCTCAAAATCCTCAAAACCATACGCCATCTAATGTGAATTGCTCATTTTCAGCTTCTCATCGCGAAAGTCTGTATAGGGGAATTTACCATTTTTTTTATCAGTTAAGCGTAATAAAATTCTAAAAAAACTAAAATGTTGAATAACGGATTCTTACGATCGAATAACTTCAAAAATCCATGAAAATTGAGAAAAAAACCGGAAAATTATTGCGCTTTCACGAAACTCTGAGAGTGATGAAACAGCAATAAAACGCAAAAACGATTTATTTTATCGTTTCCATCCGATCAACAATTGGTTATAAAACTAAAAAGGGACACCCTTAAAGCGTCGAATAGGATGATTCAGTTTTTTACTGATAAATGAAAAGCTCACCTTTCTTCCGTCGTCCTGACTAGGTTGCCTGTAATATGGCGGTGAGGGCTGGATTTGGACTGGGCTGAGAGGTAACTGATTCGATGCTAAAAACAAACCGAATATAATATTAAAATATATGTCACCTACAAAGAATTCATTAGGGTGTAGTTAATTACCCTGTGCAGCTCTTCGATACTCAATATCAACAGTACTGGCACCCAAGCTAGGACTGAGGTTCATAAGCGGTCCTCTCATTGTGTTCTCCTGTTATAACAAGATTCTATGATTAGTATCATACCCTAAATAACCTATTGTTTCATTGAATATGTATATATCAGACTTGTCCACAAATGTTGATGCGCAGTGGTGGTGTATTTGTTGGTGGGCCAGTTTGTTCCTGGGAGAAATGGGAGGACGGTAGGGGCTGCTGAGATACTTGTCCTCGTGGCTGTTGGTTGTGCTGCTGAGGATTTACTTTGTATCCACCACTGGGTCCACCCACTGCACCGTGATACACTTCCTTTCCTCCTGGTCCTGATGATGTTCCCACAACCGGACAGTCCCTGATGAAATATCACATTTTTTTATTAAAAAAAAAATTTATAAAAAAATTAAAATCAAAAAAATTCATTTAAACAATTTCATTGAAATTATAGTGATTTTCGATGAAATGTTTTTTTTTTATGACTCAATCCTTCTTCAAACTTTTAACTTTTTTAAACTCCAAGGAATATGGAAATGACTTGGTTACATGTCTAAGTATTAACAACAAATTATTATATACAAATAATAAATACAACAAATGTTGTATTTATATAACATATGTTAATTGCAAATTTATCAATCACCGAAATGTTAATATCTGCGAAATTATTTGGTGTAATAATATATCAAAATGAAATATCTCACAATTTTTTAATATTTTGTACAATATTATTATTGATTAGTGTGATCTGTTATTGTTTGTAATTATAATGATCTTTTGATTAGTGTGTAAGAAGCGAATCATCAAATCTGATGAATTGTTAATTATGCGGGAATTATGATAAAAAACAAAAAATCAAGTGAAATGCTGTAAAATTTTTAACTTCAACATTTTCAGATGCATTACTTTCGGTAATATTTTAGTTAATGTTTTTAAAATTAATATTACTCTCAGCAATATTTAGACGTAATACCAAATGACTTCAGGAACGATCAGTTAAAATGCTTCAATTCGAATAAGATTTTTCGCTGAATCTCCAGCAAGTTTATGGAATATCTCAAAATCAAAAAGCAATTGTAAAATTACAAAGATAATTTTTCGACAAACCTGCAAAAATTCATAGTGATTTAATTTTAATTTTTTGTTAATATAATTCTTTGTGAATAATTTATTTAAACCATCCCGTCATTCCCTTATTCCTTAAAAATAAAATGGTGCAATTTCGATATAATAGTCTAGAATTAGATGCAGAGTATGTAATGAGGATAGATCAAACACAAGAAAGAAGGAGAATAAGAAAAAAATAAATAAAAATAAAGTTTTTTTGCTCATGATCGCATATTCAAACCACCATTAGGAAATCAATGTTAATGCATGCTAAACAACTCAGTTGAATAATCAACAATAATAACAATGATGACGTGTACCGAATAAAATGCATCCACCAACCAACAGCCTAGGGACACAGATAAAATGCATAAAAATTGATAAACTCCAAAAGGAAAATTAAATTGCACATTCAGTGTACCACCGTGTCTTTATTTTTTAACCGGAACAATTATTTCCATAGAATTTATGACGTTGGATTTTCCTCATACCGTATTCAGACGTCATAACTCACGTACGTTAAAACGATTAAACATCTACAGCAGTTGATATTTTTCAAAATTCACATCACCGATTCGCCAAAAATTTCAAGTGAGCAGTTTTGACAAAAGGCAAGATGATTAATCCTTGATACATATATTTAAAAGAAGCAAAAAAAAAAAAATTACCAACGCAATGAAATGAGCAACCTAGAAAGAGCGACGAAGGGGCCTACAAAATGATTAATCTCTATCTCGAATTTTCTCTTTTTTTTATTAAAAAAAAGAATGTAACGTTTTTTGTCAACAATCTATTGCTCCATGAATAATCAGGTAATTCGTTCTTAAACTTAAATACGACAGCATTTTTTATGGATAATATAGATATATTGAAAATTGTCATTTTCGTTTTTTTAATTATGCATGTGTATATAGATGTATATGGATAAATACATATGTATATACGTGGAATATGTACAGGTGGTTGCATATATGATTTTTAATATGAATATTTCCTGAATTTTCATGAGTTGTTATGAATTCATTATTTAATTTTCAATACAAAAATTGAATAATGAACAAAATAATTTTCAGTCATGCAATCCACCTCGTACTACTCCAAATTAAATCAATTCTAGATCAATTCACGATCCGATTCTTTCAAGTAGAATCTAAAAACAATTTCATATAACATTTTAAATTCTTCCACATTATATTAGAATTTTTATTACAACCAAAACCGAATCTTAACATTTTCTTGAAAAAACGTTACATTCGTTTCGACTCAATTGATGATAATTTGCCTTAATCCTTCATTAGGGAAGCTTACCCAGTAAATGGACATTGTCTACAGATCAATCACCGATTTCCCGATAACAAATAAAATAAACAAATACCAAAATGTGATCTCTTGCTTGAATTGTTAGTAACAATTGTTATTTTTCACTAATGGCAGTGCTTTTCCTTCGATTTATTTCAATTTCGAAAAAACAAAAATGTTCATCCACTGGGTAGCTTTCTTAGACGCCCATATAGTGGAGTCTGGAGTAATATGGAACATGTTTTTGTTTAAATTTTTGTAACAACAATTGAGACTGTCGAATGTTCTTCTTAGATCCCAAAATTACTATTCAGAATGATAAACGATTTTTCGAAAATCATTTAATCACCATTAGACTTAATCTGAAACTGATTGTTTCAAGAAAAATGATTTTTTAATTGTTTAATGGTGTAATACGTCACGTGTATTGTGCAACAAAATCAGATAGAGACTTTTTACGTTTTTTCCTCAAATGTTGGATTCGTCAGGTCATCAGAATCTCTCACTACGAAATTCGATGAAAACTCCAAAAAATGCCTGCACGACATTTTTTTCAGAATCACAGTCGACAGTTTATTAATCGCCTAATTATCAAATACCTAATTTATCGATTTATCTGCCTTTGAACATACAAACAGATAAATGATGAATACAACAATTTTAAACTTCCATATTATTCCAAATTCCTTTAATCGATTTACCTTACTCTTTCCATTACAATATTACCTGCAATTTGTTGCATTATCCAGGATTATCGAGTTATCCAGAATCCCACTCGACAGTTTATCAATAAACTAATTTACTATCAAATTGTCAAACAGGGGTAAGTCCATTTGACTATTCCCAAGTTTTCACTGAATATCTCAGAGTCTTAAGACGACAGTAAAATTTTTATTGCAAACTTTTCTACAGACCCACTTGAGTGCCACAAAAAAATGTTCCAAAAAATTCCGTTATCTTCCTTACATTGCCGAATATTCCTCAAAAACTCAACTATAAGAGATAAGCCAACTTATCTCCCTCTACAACTTGTCTATCTTCCCTTTATCTATTTGCCTTTCTCCAACCATAGAAAAATGTTAAAAGTGACGAATGTAGCAATTTTCAACGTTCACATTATCCGAGACCCCTATGAGTCGATCGACCCTTTCCCTAGGTTAGACAATTAGCGTGTGTGTGGAAGCAAATTAAAAAAAAAATTATATAAAATTGGGTACAATAAATAAATGTTAATGGGAGAAAAGAGAGGGGAGTACCCATTGTGATATCGTGGCGACGATCCCTGACGATAGGGGTACTCCTTGTACTGCTGGTTAAGCTGGTTGTGCTGTGTATGTTGGCTGAGGGGATGCCAGCCAGAACGACTGTGGGTTGGGGCTGGACGAGTCATAGGCCCCGTTCCTGTACCACCACCACCACCAACGTTCCTGTATCTGCCCTGCATACCCATGCCCCGATGCTGATGATTACCCGGTCCGTTCATTTTATCCTCTCTCTCTCTTTTTTTTTTCTCACAATCTATCTGTCTCCCCCTCCTTCACTCGTTTTTTTTTATTCACGTCCAAGCCGAAGCCTTTTTCCTCCCTATGCCGCTCCCCCTTTCGTGTACACTTCCCACACTCTCTCAAGAGGACGTGGACGACTGGTTGGCAACCCACAGGGCACAGAACAGAAACACAACTCTGTGCCTGAATTTTTCGTCGAAAGTTGACTCTCTCCAAACACCTTTTTTCTTTTCCCTTTTTTTTATTATAGAACTTTTTCTCCTCTCGGAAGAGCCGATGAGGTTTGTGCTCAGCTGCCAAGGGCCAACCTGGCGAGTTATTCATACATACTATTATCATTAACTGTGAAATTGGGTACGAGTTCCAGGCATTTAGCCTGAATTCTCATTCGGAATTACATTTCGGGTACATATTCTAGATATTTTATGACGAATTTTCAGCCGGAATCAGAATTCGGGTACGCGTTTCAGGCATTTTTTCCGAATTTCCAGGCAGAATGAGAATTCGGGTACGTGTTCCACGTATTTTTTCCTGAATTTTCAGTCAAGACAAGAACTTGAGTACGAATCCTGTGAAATTCCCCGAAAAAACACAACTTCAGACGAGAATCGAACCTGGAACCTACCGAGTTACTAGTCCCGCGTTCTTCCATCTGAACTATTCAGCCTCTTTAACCATATTTTATGAATAGTCACTAAAATTATACAGCCGAACCGCTGTTCCTAGACTATTCATTTATTATTTATTCCTTCGTCGCGCTTTCTCGATCCTCGCCCCCCGTCCTTTCTTCACTCGTTCCTCAATATCTCATTATTTAACAGTTAATTGGTGAATTTTTAATCTGAGAATACATGCAGTTGTGGAGAATTTTGGAGAATTATCGTGCAGTTTGAAAATATAAAAGTGAGATGCATTCTAACAGAGTTACTAACACTCGGCCGTAGGAAATAAAAGAAAAAAGTGATATAAAAGGGAATGATCGAAGAGGGCCAGACGAGCGTGATGCAGGTTATAGGAGTCCTGAGAAAATTGATGTTTGGTGGAGGATGAAAGGGGATATCTATTCTCTCTTTATATTTGAGGCTCTACTCGGATACATTTGGGATAGTTATTCGGGCTTTTTGAGAACTCGCTTGGGACGTGGGGAGAGCGTTTGCGGCCCAAAAATCCAGGGAAACGATTAAGTGGACCGGAATCCAAGGCCCCGTTGCTTTTGGCTAGCACCGTAGTACCTATGTATGTATATAATATATATATATATATATGCATTTATCCCCTCCTCCTTTTAATTCTCTCTTTTTCTCTCTCTCTACACTTCCACTTGACGTCCAGTGCGTCTCAAACGCAGCAGACGGGAGAAAACCAGTTTACCTTTAAACTTGACGGGAATAAAAATAAATTTTAAAAAAGTTGATCGAAAATGTCGATAAACTTTTTATCCTCAATGCGGAAATCATTTTCAGTAAATGATTTTTTGCTGTTTTTTTGTAGTGTTGAGTCATGACAATGCGTGAGAATTTATTTTAAAAGTATTGATCATTTTTTTTTTAATTTCGAAATTTGGAAAATTGGAAAATTATACTGAAAATTTCACGTAAAGAATTCGAAAATTTTGAAGGTTCAAATTTTTAACAACAAAGTAATTAAAAACAATAAAGTTAATTTTTTTGATTAACAATTAATTAATTTGAATTGAAAATTTAATTGTATTTGATGGTGTCAAAGAAATTTAAATGCGAAAAATTCAGGCAATAATTTCCCTGAATTTTCACGAGCATGAAAATTCAAGCTTTCATTAAAAAATCCGTTACCACTCAACATGAAAACCCAAATTTTCTTGGAGTTTCAAGGCTGATGATGATAGATTCTGGATGCCATTTTAATTAGTATTGAATTGAAACTCGTGTAATTGGAAATTCAGATGACTTTGTGACGAAAATTTCAGGAAATATTTAACAGTGCAGAGAATGAGGGCGGAGTAGGAATTTCGATAAATTTTTGTTATTCTTTCATTTCCTCGAACGAACATGCGGGTGTTATTTGCTACCCTCAACGCTCTCCCAGGTATCTGTCCCAAACGTCGGGTAAAACCGTGAATAAACTGTTGGCTTTTGCCTCCATCGAGGGCCCCTAGAATATAATAAAGGACTTGATAGACGTCCGGACAGCAATAATAGGCCCTTTTCCTCGGCTCAGGTAGAAAAAATTTTCCCCAGTTTCATATTCCTCTCGGATTGTATATACAAGGTTTTCCCCGGATCACCAAATTCAAATTTTAAATTCCTCTCTCAAGTTTTCCCCAGGAAAATTCCACATCCAGTTTGACCAAATGCATTCGGAGAAACAAACCAATAGGAAATTCAAAAATTTGTAAATTCAACCAAATACTCAATACTGTTGAATAATTCCACTTAAAATCTTGAAAGACACCGAATTACTATGGAATTCCTGTCGAAAAAGATCTGAATATTTTCGTAATTCTCACTTTTCATATGACACTAGAAATTCATGAAAACGTGGAAAATTAAATTAATAATTTTTCTGAATTTTCAGTCTATTGACAATTCAATCACGACAAAAATGAAATGAAAATTCCAGCTCTCATTTAACAATAAATTATCATTAAACCCTAAAAATTCAACTTTCTCAAATTTCCAAGATAAATAAAAAAATTCAATCACTCTTAATTGCAATTAAATGAAGACTCATATAATGACTCCATGATTGAAATGCAGATAAATTTTAAACGATGAAGGTTGACCCTATATTTTTACCATTCATCCTGACTATCGAGGGAAATCGTCTGAACTCTTTTGAAAGAATATTGAATTTATACAGTATTTCGTTGAGACTTTCAGTGTTGCGTTATCAGTGAAATCGTCTCGGTGATTTCACGCTGAAACCTGGCGGTATGTAACTGTGCTATTAGTTCTGTGTTTCGGGTCAGATCGTCTACCATGACTCAAAATGAAAGAACCAAGTGAAGAAATAAATTAAAAAAAATGTTATAAAACGAGCATTGAGGTAGGAAAGTGAGGGATATTTCTGTTTCTCGCAGAAAAAGGTCTGATGTGGACGGGAATGAGAGGTACCCTGAGGATATACATTCAGCCATTTCTTTCATGACCAATACTATATACTTGGGATGTGGAGGCCCAGGTGGAGCTTCCTCCAAGAGCACCACCTGCCCTGACCCTCCTACCCACGCGGTGATCGCCCAACAACATAAGGCTTGCAGCTGATGCCTTCCTCTTTTTATTTTATATTTTATCAAGGAAAGTTCAAGAATACAGAAGTGGCCATGTAACAATCCACAATTAAACGAACCGGTAACGATTATTCCATTTTTCCATCCACTTTTGTTTTGAGAATGACAATTTCAAATAGAAGAAAGAAAATTTGGAATTTATTTGAGAATTGATTCACATGCCTTCGACTTTTTATTTTCTATTTTGTGAAGGAAATTACATGAAATCTCATGACGTGGAAGTGACTCAATTAAATTTTTGGATAAACATTTTTGGGAGCAATTAGTGGATCAATTATTATTGAATTTTTTTCTGTGAAACAAAAATTTTTGGGGAAAATGGTGAACCTGGAATTTATTTTTAACGATTTTTCCGAAGTGATTGATCAGAGTAATGCAGAAAATGTAGTTTTGATTTTGTAATTATTTAATGACTCAGGACGTCTCAACTTTTTTGGAAATTCGTGAATAGAGAAAAACAAGCGACAAAGTATGAACGTTAAAAAATCATTGAAAAATAACGATGACATTGGAGTTTTTCGCGTGAATCTGGTGAAAGCATCTCCCGAAATATACCAAAAATATACAAAAAGATAATCGTAATCGTAATTCGTATGGAAATCGAAATTCGCTCACAGACTGCACGAGTGGCTCAAAAACATATCTTTACAAGAAATTTAAATAAAAAAAAACCAGTGCGTTGAACAAAATCCCACAACAGTTCCGGAAAAGCTTTCTCGGAAAAGATTTCTGTGTGCGGAAAGAAATATTCAATAAAAGTAACGAAATTCCCCGAAAAAATTCCGCAGAATTTTCCCATGATTTCCTCCAATTATGTTCGACACTCGTTAATCCATAATTCACGTTTTCTTTATTTTTCTGGTGAATTATCCATTTTTCCATTAATCCATGAGATTGCCGTGAAAAAATAAGTTTTTTTGTTTTATTATTATTTAAGCTCACGAAGTTTCTTGACAATCATTTCATGCGTTTATTCTATAGTTTTAATTGTTTTCAATAATTTATAAAAAATGCAGGGCTATATTCCACTTTGCAACTTCGTGAGTTATTAAATATTGGCAAACCGCAAAAAAACGTTGTTTTCACATAAATCCCATCGTAAATTTGCCGGAGAAATGAAAAAAATGTGAATTTTGACGGAAAGGGTGTGAATTTTAAAAACACATTTCACTTGGCATTACAGGAAAAGCAATAATTCATTATTTCTAATGAATATTTTTGTCCATAGGTTCCAAAATTCATCAAATCCGTGATCCGCGAGTTCTCTTTCAAAATTTTTGTGGATTAATCGCGGAAAATCGTTTTTTGATGGCACAAATAGCTAGATGTTCAAAACGAATGATTTATAATAAAAATCAATCCGATTGAGTTGAATTTATTCTTCCTTTATTTTAAATTATTTGCTCGTAAGGCACATCCACATGTTTAGAATTCCTGGAAGGGATTGACTCAAAAAATAAAGATCCTCAAAATCTCCATTTACAAATTTATGTTTCGGAATTGCAGATCAGAAAAATGTTGTTTCATGGAGTTATTGCCAATATCTTCTCATTTTTCATGTGTTTTGTAAATTAAATTTGAAAAAATATACAATTTTTATTTTTCATTTTTATTTAAAGATAAATTTTGATAGTCTTGCGTCTATGTCTCTATATTTTTCGGTAAGATTTTATACAAATTTTCCGGAATTTATACAAAATACATATTCCTGAGGACGTGGAAAAATTTTTACGCGTCCATTAAATTTCACGCGATATTAAATAAAAATAAAAGTGAAGACCCCTAGATTTTTTCACGTTAATTTTACCAACTGTCTCCCATAAATCCATAAAAAAAAACTCAAAGAATGACAAGATATCGCCAATAACACCGTAAATAAAAATATCAACGTACCCTGCACTATAAAATCAATTTTTATAAACCAGGAGAACTGTATTATTTTCGAGGTCAGTTTTTAGCCAATATCTCGCAACTAACCAAGCACATCAAATTTTTCACCAAAACATTTTCTGTAGAGTCGAATGAGAGCTACAAAAAACGTAATTATAAAAAAATAGCCATCTCCCTTAAATTCCGAGATATCGTGTAAAAACAGGCGTCGAAAAAAAATGCATTTATCCTCTTTCACCGGTTCGCTCCAGAAATAGGCCATATGCAATTTTCTTTTCGGAAGACAGGGACTAATTGGACTTTCCCAGTGATAACACGAGAGCTGAATAAGGAGACAAAATACAAAATGAGAATGCCGTCACAAGAACGGCATTTCCGACGTGGTGTGTGCGTACACGCTTAGGGTACCGATCCATGTACCTACAGTACATACAGGCCGGATCGATTGTAACTAAACATTAGCATCCGCGTGTTGGTTCCATGTATGTGACTCCAAGTACCCCAATAGTCTGTATTTTTTCAAAAACCAATTAACCTCCCACTCCAAAAATCCCAAAAGCCTCAACTCTCTCCTCTCGACCTACGATTTGACCTACTGCGTACGTCTCATAATTCCCACCAAAAGAAAATAAAAAATACACCTAAATGACAAAATAATTACCATTTGAGAGTAATATTCCCAAGGCAAAACAAATCCGAATAAGAATATCCGAGTTACAATAAAAGACTCTCACTTTCCACATTGTCGATGAATAGAATGATAGAGCAAGATAGGGAAGAAATAGAGAAAGGAATAGGCGAAACTCCCAAGTAACATGTAAAAAAATGAAAACTCCAAACTTTCATGCTTAAATCAATTTTTTCCAAAGGATTTTGTAAAGCGCTCAGTGTCATTCCTGTTATCGAGTCTCTTGACAATGAAAAAAAAAATGATAAAAAAAAAAATGAATGAAATCGACGGTGTGGATTAAACTCGTCGCCTACCGTATGGGATAACACTCCTGCGTTGCCGTCATACCACGATGGATAATGATGAGAACAGTTTAAAGGGTCGCACAAGATTATAACACGAGAAACTCAACGGTGATAGAAAAAAAAAAAAATCCGAGGCACAACGCGACACTACACCCACGCACTCATACACCTATCTATTTATTTATTGGTTTGCTGATTTCTGAGTTGTTGACACACGCGGGCTCATCATTTTCAAATCGACTGGGGTGGGAGGTAATACTTTAAATGGATGAAATGAAGAAAAAGGGTACGAAAAAATGAGCCGACGGGCCGCACGAGCAAAAGCAACGCACGACAGACTGAAGCAGACTGAAGCGAGTCACTAGTCGCCCAGTTTTCGACCCACTGTATTTCACAACGTTCACAACCAACACAACACCCTGTGATTCCGCAGAGTGGGGGGAACTTCCAGTGACGCACCTATTTCTCCAGTCGCCCCGTTCACATAATGTATTTTTTCGGTAAATATCTTGATAATTGAATAATTTTGAAATTGAAATTGATAATTGATAATTGAACCCCCCAAGAAATTAAATACCGAAAGTTTTAAAAATTTTTTTTTGTTATTCCCTCTGACATTTTCACTTTTTTTTAACATGACAAAAAAAGTTCTTTTTCTAATATATCTAAATTTATAGGTAGGTCTCAATTAATAATACTAATTTCAAATCAATTTTCTTATTTGTTTTTTCTTGTTTTTTTACTCACCCCTTCAATGCACTGTTTTTTTTTTTTTAGTCTAGTCTTCTGATAGTTTTTAGCGGTTGTGGGGGAAAATTTATTTTTCCGAATATTTAAACGTATGTGGATGTAGGTCTGACATATTTTAAGTTTAAGTAAATTTTGGTGGTTGTTTTTTCAATTTTTTATTGTCGCCCCTTGGATAGTCTGAATTTTTTTCACTCGACCCGAAAAGACAATAATCTTCCAAATATATTTAAATATAGAAATAATACCAATCTTTAATAAGTCAAAGTCAAAGTTTTAATAAAGTCAATTTTTTTGTTTGTTTCCTTTTTTATAGTGGCACCTCCTCGATATACTGCCTTTTTTTATTTCGCCCCCATTTTTACTAATAATGAGCGAAAAATTTATTCTACCAAATATATAAAAACATATAAATAGACCCGAAAGACATACTAATGTCAAATCAATTTTCTCGTCTTTCCCCTATTGTTTTCATCCCTCTGGGCCTTTCCACTGACGAAAAATTTATTTTATTAAATATATTTACCCTCCACCAGTAAATCTACATAAATACTTCCATAAATTCTCTTGTTTTGTACTTTTGTCTTGTCTATTTTTCCTATTTGTTTCAGTCGTCCCTTCGAATTAGGAACTCTTTTGTCTATATTTAATCCCACCAGTAAAACTACATAAATATACACACTAATGCCAAGCAAATTCTTTTCTGGTAGTGCCTCCTCATTATCATATAATTAATAAAAGAATTTTTTTTTCAGTACTCATCTCTATTTTTCATCACAACCGTTTCCAAAATCACGGACCCTTTTCCAAAAATCTCCACCGAAAGCCCAATTTTCTCAATTCTCCCGTTTTTTTTTTATAAAAAAATGAAATTTTTAAACTACTGTTTTGCGTAGAACTCGTGGAGATTTCAAAATTAAAATTTCAAATGAACGGAGTCTGAAGACCGCACCCATTCCTGTTTGATGATCACGAGCCCTGAGTTGAGAATTTACTATAAACATATTCTCAACAAAACACATGTGCGTAATAAATGGAAGGGAAGTGTGGAGATGATTCTATGTAATTTATCTCGTTGTTTCCTTTCGTCCAGCGTGAGTTCATATTTATAATATTCTCACGTCCACTTATCGACTGAGTACGTCGATAAAATAGGTAGATGACAACGTCTCGAGTAAAAAATAAAAAAAATATTCTACCGAGAAAAAAAACATCTAAATTACTGAAATATATCTACTAACCACAAAAAAATATATTTGGCATTATATTCTATGGGAGTTTTTATACAGTGATTACCAAATTTACTGGTGTGA